ATCATACTTTCCAAGCATTTAACACATCCATATAGTGCCTAAAATTTGTCCAACACTCTTCTTTGAAATTTACAAATATTAACTCATTTATTCTTCCTCCACCTTGGTGATAATACTATCCCTGTTTTACAGATAAAGAAATTGAGGCAGAGAGGTTAATGTTTGAGCTTATAAGTGGGAGAACCAGGAATCCAATTCACGTACCAGGGTTTACCTATAAAAACTTGAGTTGATTTGAAATGGAAAGCATTCTCAGGGGTCCCTTGCTTCCTGTATCAACTCTAAGTATGCCTCTCTGTGTTTTTGGTCTTGCATTTTTAGATCCATTTTATCTTATTTCCCACTTACTGTTTGATGTCCTGCCATGTTTCTTCCTTCTTAATGATTCTAGTCTTTTTGTTTTCTGATGACTATTCCATACCTAGTCCTATATCCTTGTTTGTTTTGGGGTTTTTTTATGGCTTATTTGTTTATTTATTTATTTATGGCTTCCTTGGGTCTTTGTTGCTGTGCGCGAGCTTTCTCTAGTTGCAGCGAGTGGGGGCTACTCTTCATTGTGGTGCGCGGGCTTCTCATTGCAGTGGCTTCTCCTGTTGTGGAGCATGGGCTCTAGGTGCGCGGGCTTCAGTAGTTGTGGCACACAGGCTCAGTAGTTGTGGCTCATGGGCTCTAGAGTGCAGGCTCAGTAGTTGTGGCACACGGACTTAGTTGCTCCGCAGCATGTGGGATCTTCCCGGACCAGGGATCGAACCCATGTCCCCTGAATTGGCAGGCAGATTCTTAACCACTGCACCACCAGGGAAGTCCCCATCCTTGATTTTTATTAGATTTTTTTCCCTTGTAGCTTGGAATGTTCTTCTAATTACCCCTTTTCTAGTTAAAACTTATTCAGCTTAAAATCCATTTCAAGTTTCATCCATGAAAATTTTACTCATAACTCCAGACCTCACTGATTTCAATCTGTTTTGAGTTTCTTTAGCATTTCTCTGTATCTATGTAACAGAGAACACATTTTTTATGGTTACATGTTAATCTTGCCTCCTCATCCAGGTTGTGGTATGCTTGACTTACACTATGACATAACTTTTTCAAAAAATTTCTTGCCTTTCCTAGCAAGGTGCTATGGATTTTCTAAATGTTCAGCAAATAATTAATTGAACTTTATAATTATCTGGATACTCCCGGCAGAAGCATTTGCTAACCTCATTCATTAAAACTCATCCTCTCAGTTTGGTTTGTTGTTTGTTTGATGGCAAAGGGATTGCATCTCCGTGGCCAGTCCAGTGGATTGGTCATGGCTGCCTGGAGGGCCATGTGGAGAATGCTTTCAAAGAGTTATAGCTTGCACATCTCTAATCAATCACAGCACCCTTTCTTGCTGTCAGGGATGTGGTATGGGAATGTGGAGGCAAAAACCAATCCTGAACTTACTGACCCTAGTTTGGTAACAGAGAGAGAAAATAATCTGCTTATTAGGGAAGGAGATGGATTTTAGCCTAAGGATACTTTAATATAATTGTTGATAAGTAGTACCAGGATTGGAGCAACTCCAGGTGTTGATGATCAATTATTTATTGAGATGATACCAGGAAAAAGCGTTCCACTCTTTATTTGCCTATTTGGTTTTAGGCTATATGTGTGTCACGAATCTGTTTTTGTTTTTTTTTTTGGTATGCGGGCCTCTCACTGTTGTGGCCTCTCCCGTTGCGGAGCACAGGCTCCGGACGCGCAGGCTCAGCGGCCATGGCTCACAGGCCCAGCCGCTCCGCGACATGTGGGCTCTTCCCGGACCGGGGCCCGAACCCGTGTCCCCTGCATCGGCAGGCGGACTCTCAACCACTGCGCCACCAGGGAAGCCCAGGAAATCTGTTTTTTATACAGTGTCTGTAAGGAATTACTTCTTATGGCTCTGTAACAACTCTGAAATATATATTTTTTGGTATCTAGCACTTCTGTTTCTAGAGATTTGCCGTTATATCATTCCAGAGCCACAGTCAACATACATATATTATACAAACAAAAATTGCCAACATGCAGTTAGCTTTTATGTTGCCCTAAGTTTGAGGCTTATAACAAACAAAGAAATCCAGTTGCCAGGGAAAACAAAACACATGAAGACAATTCCCATCCCAATTGTGGGTTAAGTCGAATGTTGCCCAAATTATGTGTCACTTATTGTGTCATTAAATGACTTATGTGTCATTTATTCCTTGAAAGGTCATTTGTCCACAATTTAGAGCAGAATCTGGACTATCATGCAACCGTGGTATATTTCATTTGAGGAAATTGTGGATAGGTTAATAAGTGGGAAAATATTTTATTATAAAGATCTGGTATTTTTTATCAGCCCCAATTTTTTTCTTTTTGACATTTCTTGCTTGCGTGTTTGCCTTTGCTGATTTGAGTTTTAAACAATAAAAACAAAACAAAACAAGGACATTTAGGAGATTGGCTTGGGAATGTCTAATAAGCATTCCTCCTCTCCTTCTGACTTCCTAGTTTTCACTCTAAGGTCTCACACACACACACACACACACACACACACAAATTATCCAGCCAGAGCAGAAGGAACTAATCAGCGTAATTATTTCTTGGGTGTTGACTAACTCCTTGTTCATGGAGGGTAGAAAGTCTTTATTTATGCCTCCAATGTGGCTTTCTTCTCAAACAATAATATTAGAAGAAAATCACTGCACCCTGGCTTGAAGTCTGTATTGGAAATCTGGTTTAACACGTGGAGGTAGGTTTCTAAGATAGTTGCAACTCAAGAAGACTGCAGAGGTTGCAAGATGAATCAAATGCAAGCTGACTTGGTATAGCCATATAGAGAAATGTTTCTATATGGGTCTCCGATAAGGGCACAATTTACCTACCTTGCTCACTGCTTCATTCCTAGAGTCTAGAATCGTACCTTGATCATGGTAAGTGCCACAAAATATCTTGGAATAGGGCTTCCCTGGTGGCACAGTGGTTGAGAATCTGCCTGCCAATGCAGGGGACACGGGTTCGAGCCCTGGTTCGGGAAGATCCCACATGCCGCGGAGCAACTAGGCCCGTGAGCCACAACTACTGAGCCTGCGCGTCTGGAGCCTGTGCTCCGCAACAAGAGAGGCCGCGATAGTGAGAGGCCCGCGCACCGCGATTAAGAGTGGCCCCCGCTCACCGCAACTAGAGAAAGCCCTCGCACAGAAGTGAAGACCCAACACAGCCATAAATAAATAAATTTAAAAAAAATATCTTGGAATAAATAAATATATACACCCATTAAGAAGAACTCAATCAATGTAGATCTTGTTTGAGCACCAAAATCATGACCTTGGTTAGTTAGGCTCACCTAAATCCAAGAGTTTCTGCTTTTACAGTCCTTAAATATTAGGACTTTGGAAATAAGATTCTTAATTTAGATGAGTTAAGGAAATCTTATACTGGATTTTAAGAAGCATAGCATTTGATATAAACTCATGTAACTGATTGTAATTAGAATAATAGGAGTGCAATTTTTGTTTAGTTATGGATCTTTCTTCACTAAGGAACTACTGAACCCCCTAGGAGCATATTTTCAATACCAATCTGGCTACCTTTGTTCCATGCTGATTCTTTATGTATTTTTAGTCTCCTTTTGTTTGGTTCACATCTCTAGATATTAGTTTAGAAGTAACTAGCTAACACTAATTTATGTTCCGTTCCATATACACAACTTTCTCTCTTAATATTGGTTACTACTCTCTTTCCTTACATTGGTTTCTGTTTCCTTGTGCATATACATGCTGGGCATTGCATTAATTCACTAAAAGGGTGTCATTTCTCTTTTTCTAATAGGAAAGACCTGTATATTTCCTGCTGCCCTTTCAGGACATTGGGCTCACCTATGTTTTCCCAGCTCCTGAAATAGGCTAACCTATGCTCTCTTTAGCATTGCTTCTCAACGCTGCCCTTTCTCTGGCTCTCTGCCCTTCAGTAAGGACTGAGGAGCCCCGTCCTCTGAGACAGTGGTTCTCATGTACTGCTGTTATTTATGAGCTCTTAGCAACTGTACTTGCTAATGGATAAAGTACCAAGAATTGTAAATAATTCCCTTTTAAAAATACAAATGAGAGAAGTCTAAAACAGAATGTGGAATCAGGTACAAAGAAGAGAAGTGCATTTCTTATCAGAGAAGAAGAAACAGAATTTGCAGTTCACCAATACAGTCCTGATTAGGGAAGAGAGATCATAATTTTGGAATTAGACAAGCTAAGCTGGAAACAATGGTGCATGTGATATTTTAGGGGTTTAAGAAGAAGAAAATGCACATAGTCTTTCAGTGTTTTTCTCTCCTCCTTTGACTTTAACAATTACAGGCCTTTAGTGTTTAAAAACATCATATCTTTCAGAAGTGATGAAGATAATATTCTTGATATTTTAATAAATATAAACTCTTCAATTTTTTTTCCAAGTTAACTTTTACATAACTGAATTTATTGTATAAAGGTGGTTTTTTTTTCTATATAATTGTCTACCTACTTAAAAATGTAGAATAATTTAACAACTGTGTCACATTTTATATACTATGAACATAATCGTTGTAAGTAATCTATGTGTAATAATGTTTGATTTATGTCTCTGAAAAGACATCTCAGTTAAAATATTAAACCAGAGCAGATTCAAGGATATCCATGTGATAAAATCATTCTTATTCATTTTCTGGAATATCCTGTTGAATGAGAGAGAAAGAAATGGGGTTATAGCTGGAATGCTCATGCCGTGAATGTACCTGTGGAAGTCTATTATTTTAGTGTTTGTCTTATAAAAAAACAAAAGAAAAGACAAGACAAGAAAAGAAAAGCCTGCTGAGAATCTCTATTGTTAGATCTCTGATATTTAGTTGCGCAGTTCTAGGACCAGTGACATCACACGTGGTGTTGCCTTAGTAACCCCAGGCTACAAAGTTTTCATTGACCAGCTTGTCTCCATGGCCCCTCCCTGGTGCTCTTCACAGCCAGCCTGTTCTCACGCTTGGCCTCAGGCAATCTTTCCTGACCCCTTGGTCTCTCCTCTTGGCTCTCTGGGAATGGCTCTACCATACTCTCCTGTTTTGCAAGGGAAAGAGGAGCTTCTCTGAAGAACATTCCAGAAAGACCTTAGGTACCAGAGACTCCAGCCTCTGTGATGCTCCTAGTGTTGCTTACCAGAGATTCTTCCATCTCTGGGATGGAAGCAGGGATGGATCACAGACCATCTCCTCCAGAGCCCACAGTACCAATTCAATATATATTTGAAGAATTAAGCTGAAACCACTGGCAAATTTGTAATTCAATTTAAAACTGCAGCTATCCAAGAAGAAACAAATAAAAAAGGACTTTTTAGCACTTTCAAGTCCCATCATTCTTTTCCTGTGCCACCAGTCATGACTAGACAGGCCTCCTAAACAGTGGCTCTGGAACTGCTCAGGAGGAGTTATAACCCCCTGCCAGCAGTGCCAAGTCACTTAAGATTTCTCTCCAGGTGTTCATACAGAGCCTAGTCTCCAACAGTGTGTCAGAGAATAGTGCTCTCAGATTAAAATTGTAATTTAGCAATTAAACAAACAAAAAAACCTTTGAATTACAGAAATAAAGTGCAGGGTGAAACACGTGACTTTCCAATGAAGTGAGCAAACCTCTACACCTCTCCTTTCTCGGAGAGACTTGGGACAAACCCTGCCTAAACGTGATGGCTCTTCTACTATGTATTCTATATGTATTTTCTAAAATCAGTTTGAAGTATGCTAATGTCTCATGTTTCTTTGTAAGTGTCCCCAAGGCAATTCCCATGTGTGGATTTTGTGTTTGGAAGAAAATCCTTCAAGAGCATGGGCTTTCAATGTCCTTCTCTTTTATTTCTCACAGTACTCAGCCTATTGCATACTGAGTAGATGGTCAGAAACTTCTTGTTAACCAGCTTTTTTCTTGCAGGCCCCAACTGCGCATGGGGTGGGTACTTGATAAGTATTATTGACTGCCTCCCTGACTTTTGAAGCTAATTATTTCTTTACATCTCGTGTTAAAGCTCTACCACATCCTGTGAAACTATAACATTGATGTAAGGATATGCATCTTCAGGCATTCCACCACATATCAAAGAAACAACTAAAACAGGGAAGTCTTGCACATACGAATTTATTATACTGTTTACTTTATGTTTGAAGGTAGGAGCCACAAATTTTTTGATGTGCAACAATAATACTATTAATAATAATAATGCTGTGTCCATCACACAGTAGGGTTTCAATAAACATATATATTTTGCTGGATTTAAAATTCACTGTGTCTTCTATCTATTTATACTTGTGTGAGTGTTTGTAAATACCCAGTAAAGCATCTCTTTTCTGTTGTTGGCTTCTTAAGCATCAAGCCTGAGAACAGACTTAATTCAAATGTGAAGTTAAGACCTCAGTCGAAACTCTTTACATTGTTTTGAGTTGGTGATTGGGCTAGATTAGTGATATTGAAAATAATATTTTCCTTATTTTCTATTTATCTACCACTTTTATGATAAACATATAATTTGTGTGACATCATCTAAAATTGAATTGTCTCTTCTTGAATTTAATGGATCAATGATGTCATTATTGTGTTACATAGTCCGTGTCTGTTTAGTAGGGACTCAACAGCTTTCAATCTTGTCAATACATACAGTTAAAAATCTATATTAAAATACATATTAAAAACACTTTAAAATTCTCTCTATATAACTCCATGTTTTTAAAACAGTGCTATTTTTGATGTGTGTGCTATGTTACAGTAGTTGGATTGCTTTTACGGAACGCTCTCTCCCATCCTCATAGACTGTGGAATCTCTGAGCCTTTGGGACACTCTGCTGACTTGGCTGGGAGAAAGTTCTTGCCTATTCAGTTTTTGCCACTGCCTTTGGCACCTAGAAGCCTCCTTCCTCTTCCCCTCCCGGGTTTCTGTATAATAAGTGTGTCTGGGTTTCTGTTGCACGGAACGTCCCAGAGCGAGAGACTCTGGGGCAGTCAAACAAAGGCAGGATTTCATTCACCTGGCACGCTGACCCCTTGGATCCTGGCTGGAAACTGGGCACCGGGGCCCAAGGGCTGAGAGCAGGGCCTTACATAAGCCCCAGTGCTAGCAGCTGCTGCCTGCCCGACCTGTGACAAGGGAGCTCTTCTCCCACAGTAGCACACGGATTTCTCTTTGTTGGAGAACACGTTGCTTCATAATTTAAAAAAATCCACTGTCTTCTGTAGATACTCTCCTCCATGTCCGCATACCGGTATCTTGGCTCAAATGAGAGAGGAAAATTTGTATGTTAATAGAGTAATCTAATTAACTATTGGAAAAACTCCCTTAATAACCTTCTTATTCTTTTCCTCTTCCTCAATTGCCCAGCTGTGGCACGATTAAAATAGTGACAGGGCAGGCTTCCTATGAGTGCCCTAGATCCCATATCCTGTCCCGTGTACACATTCACAACATTCATAGGTGACCTCTGGGAACTAGAGCTGTGTGAGCCCAGGCGAGATTCATTACTGAGCCTCAATCCTTGTACCTGAGATAAAGAAAAAGGATACCCAATAATTTTTCCAATTACTAGTCATTTGGATTATGTGACAAATCCCCCAGGGGGATCTTCTAGCCCACCAGCCTCCTGGGAGGTTGTCTATGTAAGGTGTATCTATTAAGGCTTTCTGGAAGGATGGTGTCCATCTCCACTCTTGGGAACAGCTTTGTGTTCCCAGGCATAAAGGGGACTCCTTTATGGAGTTCCCTTTAAAGTAGAGGCAAAAGGCCTCCTCCTGCCACCTGTGGAGGGAAAAGGACTGCAGATGCCAAGCCCTTCCAGTAGTTCTCACATGCTGGAGTCTGGCCCTCTATTCTTCTCAGAAACTGTAACACTACTTTATTTATTTATTTTTACCTAATTTAGGGTTATGAGTTTTTTACCGGGGAGAGTGATAAATCAACCCTCTAAGAGAACTGGTTCTTGAAAGCCATAAAAGAAAAAAAAGAAAAGAAAAAGTTGTATGAAATGTTTTAAAATTCACAACAAAAGAAACTTTATATTCCTAAGTTGCTTGCTGATTTTTTTTGTGTGTGTGTGTGGTATGCGGGCCTCTCACTGTTGTGGCCTCTCCCGTTGCGGCCACTCCACGTCATGTGGGATCTTCCCGGACCGGGGCACGAACCCGTGTCCCCTGCATCGGCAGGCGGACTCTCAACCACTGCGCCACCAGGGAAGGGAAGCCCCTTGCTTGCTGCTTTTTATTTTGGCTGTTTTTTCTAGGCTGCTGCAGGTTGTACATGTAATTTTGAAACCCAGAATCCAACTTCCCAGGTGGCTAACTTGGTCATTTGGTTTTGCCTCCTTCTGTGGACTAAACTTTTCAGTCTAACTAATATTGATGTCTCCTTCATCAAGCAAGTCAATTGGTTCAGAATTATTCTCCCTGCCAACAGACAGCTGAGTGAACTTGACCTTTACCTTTAACTTTAGTTTAGCTTGAATGTCACATTTTATATTCCTGATTTGGGAATAGACATTGAAGTCAAGAGTGGATGACATGGTGACTTATTTTCTAAGAAGTTTGCTCTTCCTCAGTGGGAAATTAAGGTTGGAAAAAAAAAAAAAACCTAACCACTCCATATTGGAAATCCAGAGAGATCACATGAGTCCGTCATGCTGGGAGAGGATGCAGTGGGATTGTTGCAGGTGTCCATTCACAGTTCACATGTCTTTGATGTATTAGTGGATGCATGAAAAAAAAGTAGCTGTGCCATGTATAGAAAAAAATCCATCTCTTGTTTCCCTTATTTTCACAAACACAAAGTTAGTTTCTAAGGAAGGTGGCTCAGTGGAGGGAGGAGACTAAAACCCTAAGTAAGAGACTGGCATCTTGTGGGCCTAGAGCACGTATAGACTTGAATAGTAAAATCTCCTCCGCCCACTCTGGATAAGAAATAAGGTAGACCTTTTCAGGCCACTGGGAGGAGGTACAGTCTAAAAATAAGAAGACTTTGAAGGGGAATATTGCAATTGGGCCAAGAATCATGAACTCAAGGATAGATTTTTGCAGTCACCAAATACGCTTTGGGGATTCTAATGTTACCCATCTTGAGAGCAGTGGTGACCCACTGTTTGTACAGTTCCAGCCCTGGTCATATTTTTGACTGTCTTCATCATGGCCTTTGGCGGGCCTGCCTGTTCTCTCCATATTCCTGCTTTCTGTCTCTTACAGCAGTGGGTGTCAGCTAACATAAAAAACATAGTTACCTCTTTGGGAAGTGGGGAGTGTGGGCGAGAACTCACTTCCTCAGGCAAACAGAGAAGTATGGGAGGGGAGGAACTTTGGAATCTGGTTGAGGAAAAAGAAAGAAAATAAGTTTATTCTTGTTCCCTGGGAGCTAAATTTGACAAACGCCTGACTTAATAAGGAAACCCAAACCTCCCAATACTCAATATTATGTATATAAAAGAGAATAATAGTGTCTCAGGAAAGAGCTGCCAGGACTTTCATGAGAACTTTGAACGGTTGTCTGTTTAGGACAATTGGGCTGTTCTTGGTTTAATGTTTTCTGTATTCCCCTGGGCCAGTGGATTCCTCATAAAGGGAAGGGTTTTGAAAGTGGAAAGAGTCCCTCCTTCTTTCCCCATCTATGTCAATGTCATATATTTGTGACCTAAGAGATGACAGACACCACTGAAGTAAGTGAACACCTTCATAAGAAATCCAAAAATATCCAGCGAAATACACAGAAAAGCTTGTTTAATCTGTTACTTCCTCAAATAGCTTCTAGGTAATGAGATCAGCGTTGTTCTAAGGGGAATTAGCAGGACTCAACATCCTAGGACTCCTGAGCAAATAGATCTGTGAACCTGAACAGAGCAAAATCCCACGCTGGGAATTAAAATAATAAGGGGAGGTCATGTGCACCAGGGGCTGTAGACAGTTTCCTATTTTTCTTCTGCTCTTTGCTCCCAAAAATTGGATTTAAAAAACAAAACAAAAAACAGCTTGACCAGAATTCACAAGAAGTATAGGACTTTTTTTTTGGCTATGACCCCAAGAAAATTGCTCACAAGTAAATCTTTAATCCAGTTCAGCACAAATATACCTATTGTTGAGTTCTGACCATTAATTGTCCCTTGACTGCTCGGAGAATCATGCATCTCAGTGCCTGCTACAACGGCAATGGTAATGACCTGCATTTATTAAGTGCATTATCATTTATTACCTTATTTAGAGCCTCATGGCAACCTTTTGAAATAGACACTGAATATTTTGTTAGTCATATTCTTTTAGATGAGGAGATTGAAATGTCTGAATGTTGACTGACTTGCCAAACATCTTGCAGATGGAGAATAGCAGAGTCAGGCCCAGAATCCAGGTTTCTTGACCCCTAGCCCAATAAGCTCTTCGGAGCAAAGTGTTTAAGTGGGGGAGGATGTATCTGAATGAAATCCGTGTAACTGTATTATATGGTTTCTCCTGCTTCCAAGGGACAGAAAACTCAGTTCAACTTCTCTTATGGAAAAAGAAAGGATTCATTTGTTCATATAACTAAGGAGTCTGGGAGAACTGGCTGGCATAGCTAGATCCAAATCCTCATATATCTTGTCAGAGATATGTTATGTCAGATCTCTGGGCATCCTTTTCTTCTGTATGTTTAATTCTTAGGCAAGCTCTCCCTCTGTAGTATAAAGATGAACAGCAGCAGCTCTCAGCCTTATAATCTTCCAGTGAAATGGTATCAGCTAAAGCAAGTCCTTTTTTTCTAATACTTTCAACCAAAATCCTGAGATTTATTTTCACTGGCCTGGTTTGGGTCGTGTGCCAGGAAATGTGATGTCTGTGAGGGCAGGTCTGGTTCATGGTTCTTCCATCGAAACAGGGATGGGATAACTCTAATGGCATAAATCTGGAGTGGAAGAATGGTGATTCCTCAAAGGAAAGCCAGGGTGCTTTTATCAGAAGAAGAGACAATAGATGCTTGGCAGGAAAAAACAGCAAATGTCCTCTAGAAGAGCTGTTTCCAACTCACATATGAGTTGGCCCACCCCCCTTACTGAGACAAGACTGAAGAAGCAGATGGGGATGTACATGCATAACCAAGCAACACAGGCAGTTCTGATACACATCTCTTCTCTTCCTCTCCTTTCTCTGCCACCAATACACACCCTCATATCTTGCTGTTTATCAGTCAACTCATTTACCTAGAATATTCTTTTCTTTCTACTGCCCATACTTTATTTAGGCATCCTTTAAACTTCAATTCAGGGGTCACTTCAGATAAGATGGACTAAATGTGTCTCCCTAAAATTCATATGTTGAAGCCCTAACTCCCAAAGTGATGATATTTCGAGGTGAGGCCTTTAGAAAAAGAGACCGGAGGGTGCTCTCTCTCTCTCTCTCTCTCTCTCTCTCTCTCTCGCACATAAGACACAACTAGAAGGTATGTCCATAAGCCAGAAAGAGAGCTCTCACCAGAATCCAACCATGCTGGCACCTTGATCTTGGACTGTTTCCTTCTAGAACTCTGAAAAAATAGGTATCTGTTGTTTAAGCCACCCAGTCTCTGGTACTACGTTATGGCAGCCCGAGCTGACCAAGACAGGTACTATAGCCAGAGCCTGTATTCCACACTCCCCTCCTCCAGTTCCTTGCTATCCCTAGTGGATAGAAGAATCTTTCCAGAATTTTATTGTGCCCAAGCCACCACTGCTTGATCATCTGTGTGGATACTGCTACAGACAAGTAAACAAATGTCACCCATTAAGGAGAACACTGATTATAAAAGTTTCAGTTCAACATTCCTGATGTTATTGAAGTTCTCCGGGACTTAAGGAAAATTCTGATTTCCATCATACAGATGTGATATGGTATTTCAATTATGCTCTAAGATCAACCTCATGGACTTGTAGAAAAACTTCAAGAACTCCTACACTGACTCAATACGTCAAGTATCCAGGTGAAGCAAAGGGGGAAGAAAACAGATGAACTCAGAAACTTTCATTGTCATTTTCTTAGGTTACTGCATGAATGCCACTGGTATTTATCACATTCAGGATAAAATATGTGCATTCCATGAGGAACCCATCCCACAAACAAAGCAACTGCTTCAAGCCTTCCTGGGACTACTCAATTTCTGCCATGCTATACTTCCGCAAAAGCCACCACTGCTAAGTCCCTTCATCACCTAATAGAAAAAGACATTTGGTGACATTGACTTATGACCTTAAAGTATTTGGGTACTCTCAGGAATGAAAAGCAGTTCCTGAATTCTGAGTCTGTTCTAGTACTTTAGAATGAATGTAAACCATTTTTTCTTACCACTGACTCATCTCTTGGAACATTTGAGATATATGTTGATACAAAACACCACACAACATGAAGGCGCCAGCGATTTCTTTCTCAATGACAGTGCAATCTACTCTTGAAGAATAAGACATTAACACAAAATTAAAAACCATATTTTTCCACATTTCTATGTTTTAAGGAACAGGGTGCACTTTAAAATTTTTTATTGATAAAAATAAGAGCAGTTATCTACCCCTCCCCCAATTTTATAAATAAAACCTTTCAATTTTATAAATAAATATGCTTTACAACGTTGACATACACACACTACCAAATATAAAATGGATGGCTAGTGGGAAGCTGCTGCATAGCACAGGGAGAATCAGCTCGATGCTTTGTGACGACCTAGAGGGGTGGGTTAGGGAGTGTGGGAGGGAGGCTTAAGAGGGAGGGGATATGGGGATATATGTATACATATAGCTGATTCATTTTGTTGTACAGCAGAAACTAATACAACACTGTAAAGCAATTATACTCCAATAAAGATATTAAAAAGCACACAACAATGAACAGAGGTCTGACACTAAGTGTAAAGAGCCTTACTAACTTACACGGAAACCACTGAAATGGGCAGCCACCACCCAGCCTTTACATAATCTTTTTAGGATGGATAATTGAGGGGAGCCACAGATTTGCATAATGCCTTTCCTTGGGTGAAACATTGGTTCAGATTAATTTCTGAAATTGTATCTTACATTAAGAACATTCTATAAATGTGTGTGGGAAAGACCAGGCTGATAAGAACTTGTCTTTGTATAACAAATGGTCAATACACAAACACACAAGTACACCATATGCACTATGGGCATACACCATATGCACTCACATACACCATGGTTAAGAACTCAACTGATTTTGCAGAATCATTTCAGAGGAAAAACTTAATTATACTGGACTTTTCCCCACAATGGCTCAGTGTACTCAAAAGTCCACCTTAGAATTCTGGCGCAAGAATCATAGGCCTTTACTTGTGACAAGCAACAACACTCTGGCTGCCACTTAATATTGTTCCTGATGATAATTTCATACACACCTCAAGTAAGAATGAAGAATTTATGGACAAGCTTCTTAACTGCTGCCTCTGTTTCATTAGCCATAATATTACTGATAAATAAATGATCCCTCTGAAAGAATGGGACAGCAAACCAAAGATGACTCAAAGCAGGTTGTAGGAAGAAAAAACCCAACCACTAGCCAAATTTCTCATTGAATATGTCATTCAACAGCATTCAAATAATATTTATTCAATTGCTATGGGTTTACCATGTTTGCTTGTAAACATTGTAAAGGATGCAAAAAGAAAAATGATGATGAGAGCATTTTAATTAAGAAAGTTTAACCAAGGTTCAGAGATTGGATTGTATAGGTACAGAATTAATCTCAGTTGGTCTGTTGTAATCCTGTGCTTATTTCAGGGATACCTGGAGCCATAGTTCTGACTCTTGGCCAACACTGAATGAAAGGTACTACTATAAACGGAATATTTGTGTTCCCCCAAATTCATATGTTGAAGCTTAATCCTCAATGTGTTGGTGTTTGGAGGTGGATCCTTTGGGAGGTGATTGAGTTATAAGTGTGGCACCCTCATGAATGGGATTAGTGGCCTTACAAAAGAGACCCCAGAGAGATCCCTCACCTCTTCTGCCATGTGACATTACGGTGAAAAGGCTGACATCTATGAACCAGAAGCCAGGAAGTGGGCCCTCCCCAGGCACCAAATCTGCCAGCACCTAGATCTTGGACTTCCCTGAATCCAGACCTGTGAGAAATGAATGCGTGTTCTTTATAAGCCACCCAATCTATGATGTTATGTTATAGCAGCCCAATCAGACTAAGACAGGCTAACTGGTGATTAATATAGTCCTGTGCTAGCATCTGAGACAGGACAGGGCCAACCTGATCCTTAAAAGTATTTAGTGTGATGGTTCGTACCTAGATTCTATTATATTCCTTTGGTTTCTGCTATTGAGCCTGGACATGCAGCGTGTTTTGGCTGCATGTGACAAGAAGGATATCAGAGATACCTCCTTGGATGAGACTGTGGCTTACCTAACACTGACAACAGCCTTGTGATATAGGCAGGATTGTTGTCATTTCACTGGCATTAGCCTGAGGTGACAGAGCATAGCCTGGATTTGAATCCAGGCCTTTTGCTAAGATTAGCGTGTTTATGGTTTCATGATATTTTCTGCCAAATTGATTCGCGTCACTTATCTTTTCAAATTAAGCTGAGGACAAAAAGCAAAACAAGAATATATTCCAGAAGCAATTCGATTCACATCTGTTAATCTTTGCTGAGATTAATCTCAGAATAATGACTGTCCTCCAGAAAGTCTACTAATGAAAGCTTTCTTCTCCCTTGCTTGCTTATTGTCTCCTATGGAACAGGGACCTGCCATTCAAGCATCCCTCTTTAATAAACAGAATTATGTATCAAGAGAGAAGTATTAATCTTCTTATAAATCTTGCCTCAAAGCAGGTAGGGAAATAGGAAAACTACACTATGGAATAACAGTACAACACAGGGTAATATTTTATTGTATCTTTAATACCATTTTCACTGGCAAAACAAAATAGACTTATGTGAAGACTCCCTATACCATTGGTGCCAAGAGACCAATAATATATACATGTATTAGATTTTCTGTGTTAGTTCAGATAAAGTAAATTTAGCAATTATTTATTCGCTACTCACTAAGTGGGTAGCACAGTCTGGAAAGGGCCATTCTCAAGTGCATTGTGAGATGGGAAAAGTTTAAACATATTCCCGTTTGCCTCTACTTTCTGTACACCTTACTTTCCCTATCTTATGGTGCCTAATTCTGGCAATATCTCCCCAATATGAAAATATGCTCCCGAGAAGGGATCAACAGGTTCATACATACAGCTGTACATACATACATGACCATTTTTGCTGGGTATTTTCTGCTTGCCCCTGCACATTCTCTCAACTATTCTTTACCATTCATTCTGCCCCAGACAATGACCTATGTTAAATATATCAAAGAGCTCTCTAGCCCTCTGGCTTTAGGTTTGGTTTGGTCAATGGAGGTGCCTGGCAAAAGATAGGAGGAAGGGAGAAAAATGAAGCCAAGATATTAAGTCACCTGGTACCCCTCTGCAGGGTGCCACAGGCTTGCTGCCCCCTTTCAATGAAAGTCACAACTCCTGTCAAGGTGCTCCTTTTCACACAACTTTTACCTTCTAGGGTCTAATAACTGCTCTCTCTCCTAGATCCTTTGGGTCAAGGGATAATAATTGTCTTGGGATACTGCATTATCTCTTGTGCTTTTAAAAATACTCTGCCTGCCCCCTTATAGATAATCTCTTTACTAAACCATCATGAAATTATCCTAATTTTATTGTGCCGTATTTTCTTCTGAGACCCTGTGTCATGTAACCAATGGGCATTCACACTTAAAGGAACAATTCATGAAGACCCAAGAAAACAAAACTATATTTATGGTATTTCAATACTGGCTACACAGAAAGTGTTCTAGTTTATATTAATATTCTGCTGCCAAAAAGTTCTTTAGTATACAACAATAAACAGTCATTTAGTTCTTCAGTCTGCAGGGTTCTGCTGATCTGAAGTAAACTGATAATCTCAGCTACGCTGGGTCTTTCATCTATAGTCAGCTGCAGGTCTTCCAGGTGGCTCTGCTGATCTTGGCTGGGCCCATTCACAAGAGCCTGAATGTCTGCTGGCAGATGGCTGATCTAAGCTGGCCTCATCTGGAACAACTAGGCTACTTGGCTCTGATCCATATGGCTTTCCTCTTTCAGCAGATTAGCCAGATACGTTCTTACGGCCATGGCAGAGATCAAGAGAGCAGAAGGCCAATTATGTAGGTGCTTTTCAAGCCTCTTTTCAATTCAGGTCTTCTAACATCTCATTGGCTTAGGCAGATCTCATGGCCAGATCCAGAGTCAGAAACACACTACAAGGTTGCCTGGCAAAGGATGAATAACCAGGAATCTATGAATTGGAGCCACTGAGGCAGTCAATTAATCCCAGAGGTTTTTACAGCTATCTGGTTCTTTACTTCACAAAGGAAATGACATTTATAGTGGGCCTTGAAAGATGAGTAGATTGCCATGAGATGGAGAAGTGAGGTAGCATGTGCAAAGCTTAGAAGCATGAAAGTGCTTGATATGCTTAGGAAGTAGTGAATAAACAAGTGTGCTATTTTTAAACTTTATATAAATGGGTCATACATTATGTACTCTTGTGTCTGGCTTCTTTCACTAAACATTACTGAAGATTTAATACTGTAAATATGTCAATTTTCCCTAAATTGATCTATAATTAATGCAATTTCAATAAAAATAGCAGGATTCCTTTTTACAAGTTAATCAGCTAATTGTAATATTTATATGAATATCAAATAGCCAAGACAAACAATCCTGAAGAACACAGTTGAAAAAATTACACTACTAGATATTTTCCAATCCAAGAGCATGGTATATCCTTTCATTTATGTAAATATTATTTCATTTCCTTTGATAATGGTTTTGTTTTGTTTTGTTTTTGTTTTTTAGTTTTCAATATACAGATCTTAAATAAAAGATGCTAGATTTTTCCTTTTATCTCCTCAGTGTGTCACACACCCAATAGATTGGTAAGAAGATGAAAACAGATGGGATTTATCTTTTCTGCCTTTCTCATGTTGTTATTTAACTACATGAAAGGATTCTGATCTGAAGAGGAGAAAGAAAGAGAGTTTGAAGAGATGATAAACCATGAAAGGGCCTTGTTCTCTATGCCCTTCCCTGGAATAAACTTGCCTATAAGATTGAGATTCTAGATTTGGGAAGATTTGCAACCTGCTCCCCATCTGAAAGGTTTTGAATGCAGCAGCTCCATTGAAGAACCCAATATATGAAAGGCAGAAAACTTAAAGGCATGGATATCTACTTGGGGTACTCTTAATTTCCCATGGTCCCCAAGTGACTTTGAGAATATTTCATGTCTTCTGAAGCCATGAATAAAACCTAGGTATTAGGTGGGAGGGAAAGCTAAAATGCCAATCAGAAGACTACAGTGCAAAGTGAGGACCTGGGTCACCTACATGGAGGTGAATGAGGATGTAGCTGCATCTTTGTTGGAGTGTAGATAGCAGAAAGCTGCAAGGAGTTAATGGAGAAGTGTCAGATGGATCAGTTGCCACCTGCCAAACGAGCACTGGGTATCATCTAAGCTTGGAAACAGG